TCTCCGTAACTGCTGGATCTGCCTTTGCCAAAAACTAATCAGCACATCTCCTTATAAATAGGAATCGAATGTTTTTTAAACCATTCAAATCGGATGATCCGTACGCCCGAAAACGTGGGCGAAAATTTGTATCCATACATACATACATACATACACACACACACACACACACACATCCATTTTTTCTGAAGTATGCCAAAACGTTCAGAAACCTTCAAAACGTCGAGAAATGTAAAAATTTTCAATTCCGATTTTCGGCCCATTACAATAACTTACCCTACGGGAAGTTAATAATCCAATTAATGCGGTGGATGGTGACGAAGTGCAAATTGTTTTCACTTCTGAACTTAAGATAAAGATTAGCCTATTTCCAAAATATCAAGTAAATTGGAGCACAGTAAAAAAATTCACAGAGCACAAATATTGAAAAATGTTCAATAAAATTGTATATTAAAAATTATACACTGCGATTTATAGAACAAAATTTCCAATAGCTCAATTTATTTTATTGCATTCAAGGGTGATTGTGATTTATGATTGTGATTGTGATTTATGGTCATAGCATAAAATACACGTGTTGAAAATTGAAATCTTTTAAAAAGTACAACAAATTCAGAAAGAATTACTATATAGCATTCGCGGCAAAGGTGCAATATCACCTTTTATTTTTCTACCCAAAATAATTGCTTCAATAATGTTGCCTATAATTTTTATAATTTTGTACCATATTTTAACTGGCTTTTAGTAATTTTAATATCTAAATTACATTTTTTTCACTAATAAATCAATATACATTATTGCTTAAGTTTATATTTGAAGTGAATTAATTTGTCAAATCCTGTCCAACTCATATATAGGTGTAAATAGTAATTCAAAAAACAGTAATTATTATTTTTAACTAAGCAGTAAATATTAGTATAATATATTGTAAAATTGTAGACGTGGGTACAGAACAACGTCTGTCGGGTCAGCTAGTATATATATATATATATATATATATATATATATATATATATATATATGATTTAGTAGTTAGTTTTGATGTTGAAATATGTGAGTGAGTTCTTGAGGGCGATACATCAAACAAAGAAAAGCCAAAGATTTATAAAATAATCTTTATTTCCAAACGTTTCGACATTCAATTTAATGTCATCATCAGTGGATCTAAAAACAGTATGAAAATTAGTATATCTAGGTAATTATAATATATGTGGATTGGTAAAGTAACTATACAATAAGAGGAAAATTAACAAACAGCAACACTTAACAACAAACCAAATATAAAAGATAGGAAAGGTAGTAGAGACTAGAATTAAATAAATAATTAAAAAATATAGGCAAAAGTATCTAAGTACACTCATATAAACCTACGCATATATACATATATATACATACACATATACACACATATACATATATATATATATACATATATATATATATATATATATATATATATATATATATATATATATATATATATATATATATATACATGCATATATACATATACACACACATGATATACAGATACAGCAATATATACCTATATATGTACACATATACATGCACGACCATACAAATATAAATATACGCATATACATATATGCAACGTGCATGTATATTCACAACGACGTACATGTACATGTATGAAACATACATATACTCATACCTATCTATGTAACTATAGCTATACATGCATATACGCATAAACATGTATATATACATATATACACACATACATATATATACACATACATATATATATATATATATATATATATATATATATATATATATATTAGGGAGGGCCGAATCATTATAGAAGTAAAATTAAGCGATATGGGCACCTTTTCATATGAAATATATGTGTTATTTAAATGAATTTTGACTTCAAAACCATATATCGCAAATAACTCTTTAGCCAGCGAAATTTTCAATAAAATACTGTTTTTAATAAGTTAATATATTAATTTAGGCATGTGAATAATTCAAATTGTGAGTTATATTTCTTTTGATAGTTTGTACGGGGGTTTTTAAATCGGGTTTAGTTTGTTGTTATTTATTTCCATCAGAGTGCGCTAGTATTTTTTTATAATAATTCTCGAACTTTCGAAAAGAATATATTAATGTGAAAAATTCGCATAAATCTTCATTCAGTTCTCCAGTTAGACGTGAAGTATCAATGGCGAATTCTTATTTAAATTCAGGCGCAAGTGCCAGTAATTTGAATCATATGCGCTCGCATGATCAAATTACATTTGGGGAAGCAAAAGAATTTACTGGAGTAAATCTTCCGACAAGTATGGAAATTATCAGGTATTATTTTTATTTGGCCGAAAAATCGAAAAAACAAAATAAAATGTTTTCATATAAAACATTTACTCCAAATGTGGTAACGAAATTGATTCAGACGTGGGAAAAAATTGATATTCCAATTATGGAGAAACGAAGTATCGCTAGAAAATTGAACCGATTGATTGATAAATATAAAAGTACAAATAAAAGCAAGTCTACCCAAGCATCATTTTAGGAGTTTGTAGAATCCACGAAAGAATTATTTTATATTGGAAAATGCAAATGCGTTTTGCGAAGATTACTGTGTTCGTGTGGACTGATCCCAGAACATTTACAAGCGTTTATAATGGATCAACATAATGAGAGGAAATCTACGATACCAGAATATATTATAAAAATTGAAGATAAAGTATCAGAATCTACAATAACTAGCAATATTACTCCAGGTGAGACATATACTCCAGATGTTGATTTTGATTTTAAAAGCAGTTCGGAAAGTTCACAAAATACTTCTCATATAAAATGTGGTCCATATAGTCGAAGATATAAGGCTCCAAACTATGCCTTAATGTGCGACAGATTTGCAATTTCTGATAGAGTTGGTTCTGGCGTGGTGACGGCAATCCTGCGTGACCTGGGCATAACGGATGATTGGGGCAATCCTGTCATTATGGATAAAAATAAAAGCGTTCGTGAGAGGCAGAAAAATAGGCAAGCTTTACACAAACGATATGATTCTTCTGAATTAATAGCATTTTCATTCGACGGCCGAAAAAATGATTCTATTACCATGGAAAAAATCGATAAGAAGTTTCACCCACGAATGATTAAAGAAGCGCATTTAGTTATTTTAAAGGAACCGAATGGCCAATTGTTGGGTTACACAAAATTGGAAAATGAAGATTCGGAAAGTAAAGTAATCAAATTGAACGAGTTTTTCGCCGATAAAGGAATAGCTCTCGATTCTTTGATAGGCATATGTTGCGATGGTGAACCAGCAAATACAGGCGTAAAAAATGGTATTTTACGTCAATTTGAAATTCAGTTGAACAGGCCACTGCATTGGTTTGAGTGTCTTCTTCACTTTAACGAACTTCCACTTCGCCATTTATTTAACTATTTGGAAAAATCATTGACCACTGGACCACGAACAAAAACTGGAATATTAAGCAAACAAATTGAAACATGCGAAAATATACCGGTGAGTTATAACATATTTACTATTTTTTAATACCCTATGTTCAAATTCAATATAATTTATTTTTTCCTATATACTTCCAGCCGGTAAAAGACTTTGAAAGAATCCCACTTGAAAATTTGGCTGATATATGTCCTGCTGAATCGACAACTGACTCAAGTTATTTAATAAAAATAGCTAAAGCAGTTGCTTCTGGAGAAGTATCGACAGACTTAGCTAACATGAAACCAGGGCCAATAGCACATTCCCGTTGGCTCACGAAGGCTAGTAGGTTACTTCGGTTATATGTAACTACTAATAAGCCATCCAAAAATTTGAAAATTCTGGCAAACTACGTAATGAAAGTATATATTCCAATGTACTTTAACATTAAATATTTCAACTCTGTGGTGTATGGTAGTATATTATTTTATAAATTTATTAGCTGGACGCAATATTTAGACTCGAATTTAAGACAAATTGTGAACAATGTTGCTAAAGAAAACGCATACTATGCTCACTCGGAAAATATTTTATTAGCAATGTTGTTTGATAATAAAAAGGAAATACGAGATTCAGCTATAAGAAAAATCTTATATTACCGTAATAATGTGGAAGACCTGACGCAATTGAGAGATTACAAAACACCCGAAATAAATTTTGTTACGGATGGGGGTTAGTTAGACCCTTTCGGAATAGCTAATTGAATTTGACTCAATAACTATTCCGAGGATTTGATCTTATTGAATATATTAAGTAAAATACTCGACGTTCTCTGCGTGCTCGGCGGTCCAGTCGGATGGCGGCTTCAAGTTCGGATATCTCAGTTCGCTATAAATTCGGATGCTGAGGAAGAAATGAACTCCAAACACAAATAAGGAACACTTGCACTGATTAAAAAGTATTTATTTCATAAAGTAATAACTAATGATCGAAATATATCACAAAAAACTCATATGGAAAGCACAAGCAAAACGGTGTACGTGACCAGACAACGCGAGAGAGCTTGTTCACCCGTCAGATCAGCTATTACGTCCAAACCTTTTAGGATTGCCAGAGAAAAGGTGTTGTCTGATTATTACCAATATCAACTGGCGACATCTAACATGATTCTGGCGCGAACATATTCCCCAGTCTAAAAGGGATACCTTTTATAACCTTATAATTCTTTGGATAGGGACCACTCGAATCACTCCATCGGCACCTAGAAAACTTCTACTCTTTCTTCCATCCAATGGAGCAGGCAAAACCGCCAAAGTCAATAAAGGTGTAGGTAGGAAGTTGAGGATCATCACTGAGCTCAACAAGGCCACTAATGGCCACTATCATTGAGTCTCCATGGAGAACATTAATCCTTTGAGAGGACTAAGTAGAAATAATTTCGTTCCCAAAACCGACACAACATAACCAATTCTTAGGTCGGATCAAGTGTTCAGGTAGTTCTGGAAACGCCAAAGGCTGCATTTTGATCGAAAGTGAAGCGTTGTAAGGAGACATACTATATTAGAAAGAAAGTCATAGATTTTCAATCATATTGCATGGAAAAACTTGAAAGTTGAAGTGAATCTGATATCGAACCCATTATTATATAACCCAATCGGGTTTCTAGTGCTATAGGTGAACCTTGACCATTTTTCACCTTATTAGTACCCATAACTTCGCTGAAAACATCACATCCTAATATGCCGTCGACCGTTTGAGGCACATAAAACTTTGGATCCGCTAGTGGGTACTTCAAGAATGATTGGATTGTTGATACTGGAATCGTGGTTGGTGGTTGTTTTCTCACAATTTCTTGCACAACGTATGCACATACTGGCAATTGATATGGATTGATTGTGGATTTTAACGTGAAGTTAACAAATCCTATTACGTTTTGTGACGAATTTCCTAATCCAATTACTTTGGCTGAAACTGGTTGAACTTTCAAATGGGCCTTTCTACACCAAGCTAATGTAACGAAATTTTTATCACTTGCTGAATCAATTATAGTACGTAGTGGAGTATTTTTCTTTTTGGTAAAAACCTTTGTTACAGCTGTCGGCAATATTGTTGTATTATGCGCGAGTTTGTTGTTACTGGTAGTGCATAAAACAGTATTATTAGATTTCGAATTCGACGGATTACCTTGATTCGTATTTGCAAAATTCTTATCAGTATGCAACAATGTATGATGCGGTGCCTTACATATAATACAAGTTTTCTTCGATCGACACGCAACTGTCGTCTTATGGCTTAAACAATTCACACATAGATTTAAGTTTTTTATACAATCTTGCCGTTCAGGAATATTCATTTCTAGTAATTTTGAACATGCAAATATGGCGTGTTGTTCCCGGCACACAAAGCACTTCTTTTCGTATTTACTTTTTAAAAGAAATGATCGACTAATTTTGGAATTTTTATCCTTTTGCTCACCATATGTGTGATTGTTAGTTATAGTTGTCATACCATAAACTTGATTTTTCGCTTGTTGCGACTTATGGAGAAATTTGAGGAGATCTTGGTATTTAGGAAATTCTCCTTGATAAGAATGCTCAAATTTCTCCTGCAAAATGGGATCGAGTTTTGAGAATGCCATAGACGTTATCATAAAGTCAAATGCATCTTGAAGGTTTAATTGTGAAAGGGCTTGTACAGCTGTATCGAATTGTTCCAGAAATAAGTCTATTTGTGATGATGTAATGGTTTTAAACGATAAGAGCTGTTTAAAGTAAGTGGTGGCTAAATATCGTTTATTCTGGTATTTTTTTAATAGTGCTTCCCATAAAATCGGATAATTATTTGCAGTTGGTAGTATGGAATTAAAATTTTTAGTACGGAACCTTCTAACGCACCTTTTAAAAAATGAAATTTGGATACGTTATCTAATCTTGTATTTTCATGAATTAATGCTTTAAAGGTTTCATAAAATAAAGGCCATTGTTGTATATTGCCGGAAAATTTTGGAACTTCTATGGATGGTAAATGATGATTTGGAACACTGTCCGGTATTGACGAATTACTTATATTTTGATTATCCAACATTTTTTCTATATATTTGATTTTTGAGTACAAAATTTCCAAGGCCCTTATGTCGGCATACTCAGGAACAAAACTCGGATCCTCTAAATGTCTTAATTTGTTTATTTCGTCGCTTAATTTTATGCATTGTTCTCGTGCATTTTCAATAAGGTGTAGTTTTTCAAGAAATTTTAACTTACTTGCCGTATTGGTGGTAATTTGTTGAGAAAGGTCATAAGTTTCTTGCATTATTGAAAAATACATTTCGCTCTTCGCTGTCATTCGGTCAATCTCTGCACCCACGTCAAATTTAGGTGCCATCTTGGATTTTATTTTCTCAATATATTCAATAAATCCTAATCAAAATTAGGATCCGGCTCGAAGGACCAATGTTACGGATGCGGGTTAGTTAGACCCTTTCGGAATAGCTAATTGAATTTGACTCAATAACTATTCCGAGGATTTGATCTTATTGAATATATTAAGTAAAATACTCGACGTTCTCTGCGTGCTCGGCGGCCCAGTCGGATGGCGGCTTCAAGTTCGGATATCTCAGTTCGCTATAAATTCGGATGCTGAGGAAGAAATGAACTCCAAACACAAATAAGGAACACTTGCACTGATTAAAAAGTATTTATTTCATAAAGTAATAACTAATGATCGAAATATATCACAAAAAACTCATATGGAAAGCACAAGCAAAACGGTGTACGTGACCAGACAACGCGAGAGAGCTTGTTCACCCGTCAGATCAGCTATTACGTCCAAACCTTTTAGGATTGCCAGAGAAAAGGTGTTGTCTGATTATTACCAATATCAACTGGCGACATCTAACATGATTCTGGCGCGAACAAATTTCGAATGCACCGACTATACTAATATGATAGATATGGATGATTATTCAAATATATCCGAACCAGCCTTTACGCTAAATATTCCTCATGAACATCTAGTACCATATCTACAAAGCAATGAGTGTCCATGGAGTGACCCTAGAATTCCGGTCCACATTCAGGGAACTGAGAGACATGTTCAATTACTGGCTAATGTATCAAAACGCGTATTAGAGCAAAATCGCGAAGGTGTTATGACAGCGACACTACTATCTCGTGAAAAGCATCCTCGACTGGAAAGCAAGCAAGATTTCAGATATTAATTTATTTCAATTGTATTAGCTAAATGTAAGAAATTTTATTTTAAATAAAAATGTAACTTAAAAAAATAAAAATGTTGTATTTAAACCATGTCATGTAAATAAATAATAGAATAAATATATGTCATTCCTAAAAACCCAAAAACAATATTTTTCTACAAAAGTAGTTTGACCTGTTTTGATGCAAGATTCTAGGTTAGGCTAACTCGCAAATGTCCCCTAAAAGTTTACTTGATGTAGTCTGATGTACCCGTAAGTTACTGATTTCAAAAAGCCGGAAAATGTTTTTAACCTGTTTCGATGCATGATTCTAGGTTAGGCTTACTCGCAAATGTCCCCTAAAAGTTTACTTGATGTAGTCTGATGTACCCATAAGTTACTGATTTCAAAAAGCCGGAAAATGTTTTTAACCTGTTTCGATGCATGATTCTAGTTAGGCTTACTCGCAAATGTCTCCTAAAAGTTTACTTGATGTAGTCTGATGTACCCGTAAGTTACTGATTTCAAAAAGCCGGAAAATGTTTTTAACCTGTTTCGATGCATGATTCTAGGTTAGGCTTACTCGCAAATGTCCCCTAAAAGTTTACTTGATGTAGTCTGATGTACCCGTAAGTTACTGATTTCAAAAAGCCGGAAAATGTTTTTAACCCTGTTTCGATGCATGATTCTAGGTTAGGCTTACTCGCAAATGTCCCCTAAAAGTTTACTTGATGTAGTCTGATGTACCCGTAAGTTACTGATTTCAAAAAGCCGGTAAATGTTTTTAACCTGTTTCGATGCATGATTCTAGGTTAGGCTTACTCGCAAATGTCCCCTAAAAGTTCACTTGATGTAGTCTTATGTACCCGTAAGTTACTGATTTCAAAAAGCCGGAAAATGTTTTTAACCTGTTTCGATGCATGATTCTAGGTTAGTCTTACTCGCAAATGTCCCCTAAAAGTTTACTTGATGTAGTCTGATGTACCCGTAAGTTACTGATTTCAAAAAGCCGGAAATGTTTTTAACCTGTTTTGATGCATGATTCCAGGTTAGGCTTACTCGCAAATGTCCCCTAAAAGTTTACTTGATGTAGTCTGATGTACCCGTAAGTTACTGATTTCAAAAAGCCGGAAAATGTTTTTAACCTGTTTCGATGCATGATTCTAGGTTAGGCTTACTCGCAAATGTCCCCTAAAAGTTCACTTGATGTAGTCTTATGTACCCGTAAGTTACTGATTTCAAAAAGCCGGAAAATGTTTTTAACCTGTTTCGATGCATGATTCTAGGTTAGGCTTACTCGCAAATGTCCCCTAAAAGTTACTTGATGTAGTCTGATGTACCCGTAAGTTACTGATTTCAAAAAGCCGGAAAATGTTTTAACCTGTTTCGATGCATGATTCTAGGTTAGGCTTACTCGCAAACGTCCCCTAAAAGTTTACTTGATGTAGTCTGATGTACCCGTAAGTTACTGATTTCAAAAAGCCGGAAAATGTTTTTAACCTGTTTCGATGCATGATTCTAGGTTAGGCTCACTCGCAAATGTCCCCTAAAAGTTTACTTGATGTAGTCTGATGTACCCGTAAGTTACTGATTTCAAAAAGCCGGAAAATGTTTTTAACCTGTGTCAATGCATGATTCTAGGTTAGGCTTGCTCGCAAATGTCCCCTAAAAGTTTACTTGATGTAGTCCGATGTACCCGTAAGTTACTGATTTCAAAAAAACCGAAAAATGTTTTTAACCTGTTTTGATGCATGATTCTAGGTTAGGCTTACTTGCAAATGTCCCCTAAAAGTTTACTTGATGTAGTCTGATGTACCCGTAAGTTACTGATTTCAAAAAGCCGGAAAATGTTTTTAACCTGTTTTGATGCATGATTCTAGGTTAGGCTTACTCGCAAATGTCCCCTAAAAGTTTACTTGATGTAGTCTGATGTACCGTACGTTACTGATTTCAAAAAGCCGGAAAATGTTTTTAACCTGTTTCGATGCATGATTCTAGGTTAGGCTTACTCGCAAATGTCCCCTAAAAGTTTACTTGATGTAGTCTGATGTACCCGTAAGTTACTGATTCCAAAAAGCCGGAAAATGTTTTTAACCTGTTTCGATGCATGAGTCTAGGTTAGGCTTACTCGCAAATGTCCCCTAAAAGTTTACTTGATGTAGTCTGATGTACCCGTAAGTTACTGATTTCAAAAAGCCGGAAAATGTTTTTAACCTGTTTCGATGCATGATTCTAGGTTAGGCTTACTCGCAAATGTCCCCTAAAAGTTTACTTGATGTAGTCTGATGTACCCGTAAGTTACTGATCTCAAAAAGCCGGAAAATGTTTTTAACCTGTTTCGATGCAAGATTCTAGGTTAGGCTTACTCGCTAATGTCCCTTAAAAGTTTACTAGATGTAGTTTGAAATTATATATAAATACTGAATATTTTGTTAAAAAGGAAATAAATATACTGAATATTTTATTATAAAAAAATCGAAATATTTATAGGTTGGAAGTTACTAATTATTTAGAGTATATTACAAAAATTAAATAAAAATAGCAACTTGCACGTATTTTGCACATTGACAACTTACACGTATTCTGCAAATTGACAACTTGCACGCATTCTGCAAATTGACAACTTGCACGTATTTTACACATTGACAACTTGCACGCATTTTGCATTATAGATAACTTATACGTACTTTGCTTATTAGCAACTTGTACGCATTTCCAAGAAATTTAACAAAAAACATTCTCCCTATTTAGAATTTAATGAATTATATCATATATTTATATTAAAAAATTATGAAAGTTTCTCTTAAAAAACATATATTTCGTAAACTTACAAAATATTTATAACTATTCTCTTGACATTATGGTTATTGAAAGAAATAATGAATATTCTAGTATTGGAATTTGTCGATAAGTTTTGATTTACGTGCTGACTCACGCACGTTGTACAAAATAGCTAGGTAGATACCGAAGAAGTGTCACATGTACAGCATGTACAAGTTTTCGACTGTCAAGCCTACTGATTGTGGCATGCTGCAATGCGACGGCTAAGGCTTATGCTCTAATAGCGTGGGGTGACGTCAAGCCAACATGACGAATCCCCAAGCCAAGGGCTGAGTCTCAACGGATCGCAGCGTGGTAACTGCTCTGCCGAGTACAACACCCCGCCAGGTACCTAAGTCGTTTACAAACGATTCCGAGTCTCTACATCAAACTAGTGACCCATGATCGACCGCTATAGGCAAGACAGATATAACGGACGGATATCGCCCCTGTCCAGCGCCATTCGGCTAAAATGGTTCGTGCGATAAACGGCGTGTGCCGAATACCTCATAAATCACATTGTATTTAGCCTTTCGACTCACGAGACTCTTAGAGATATCGTTGCTTACTTTGTCTAGAAAGTATACGGCCTTAGAGGCGTTCAGGCATAATCCCACGGATGGTAGCTTCGCACCACCGGCCGCTCGACCGAGTGCGTGAACAAATGTCCGAACCTGCGGTTCCTCTCGTACTGAGCAGGATTACTATCGCAACGACGATTTATCAGTAGGGTAAAAACTAACCTGTCTCACGACGGTCTGAACCCAGCTCACGTTCCCTTTTGTGGGTGAACAATCCAACGCTTGGCGAATTCTGCTTCGCAATGATAGGAAGAGCCGACATCGAAAGATCAAAAAGCAACGTCGCTATGAACGCTGGCTGCCACAAGCCAGTTATCCCTGTGGTAACTTTCTGACACCTCTTGCTGAAAACTTCAAGCCAAAAGGATCGATACGCCATGCTTTCGCAGTCCCTGTGCACACTGAGCAACGGGATCAAGCCAGCATTTGCCCTTTTGCTCTACGCGAGGTTTCTGTCCTCGCTGAGCTGGCCTTAGGACACCGGCGTTATTATTTGACAGATGTACCGCCCCAGTCAAACTATCCGCCTAGCAGTTTCCTCGAATCGGATCACGCTAGAGTATTGTTGGCGATCGGCGCGATGGCTTACACCACTCTTATGCGCTTGGCTCTAGAAAACCGTGACAGTCGGAACGCAAGTTTTCGACGCACGCTTTCCGCCCAATCGAGTAAGTAAGAAACGATGAAAGTAGTGGTATTTCAACCGACGATATTACTATCTCCCACTTATGTACACCTTTTCATGTCTCCTTACAATGCCAGACTAGAGTCAAGCTCAACAGGGTCTT